TGTGTGATGAAAAGCATTTACTCTTGGCCCTAGCAAAACTTAACTAATATGCTGATTGAGAATAGATTTTAATAGTTTTTTTCTTCCCGTATGCTTTATAATCCACTCATCAATGTTGATGTGATTTTTTACTTCTGTTCAATTTTGCAGTAGGTTCTTTTCGTGTAGTAGCAAGTAGTTTTCTGGATTCTGAATAGTGAAATGGTGGTGAAATGTCATTTTCAGTTGCTAGAACTGTGTCCCACAAAACACTTAAATAGCTGGCTATGAGCTTTCCGCGGTCTCTAGAAAAGCTTTGAGCTCCACCTGCATCAGAAAACTGAGAACCTTGCTGAAGAGTCAGGTTCTTGAGCTCCACTCTGAACTCGGAGACTTAGAATCTTTGGAATCTGCCCTTGTAACCAGTATCTCGGGTGATTCTTCTGCACACCAGTTTTAAAAATCAGATTTGAATCCCTCCTCCTTCCTGTTGAAGAACTACCTTTCCTTTCTTCCTCCATCTAAAAGTTCAACAGTGTGCTGTGTTAAAGAGATCTTATTCCTCCAAATTCAGTCCTTAACATCTGCAAAATAAAACACACACACATACACACACACACACGTGCATGCGTGCTTGCCCACATGGAGCACTAAGGTGACAGATCCACTCGCATCTTGGTCAACTAACACAAAGAAGAAATGGTCAGAGTGTGTGTCGCGAGGGATGGGGAGGAGTGAACATTTTCTTGATTAATTTTGTTGGGATGGGTGAAACCCCAAGGCAGCAGACCCAAAAATATATAAAATATAATGATATCATAAGTGTAATTTTTTGGAATGAATGTTAATTACATAGAATTTAGAAATATTAATAGAATATAATGAGAAGGATATTGGAGAGCATAGGAAGAACGACATAGCAAACTTTGCAGTGTCTACATAAACTAATAAGGTCATTTTAATGCACTTGCAGAGATGGAAATCCTCCATGGTAGAAATAAGAAGTGTAACTAAACAAAAGCTTTAATGAAAGGCTGCTTTTACAAGATTTATTGTTGCTGCTGCTGATAAAGATAATATTATACTTTTTTTTCCCCTCAGAATTTTTATGGTTTCTGGCCTAATGACAGAGTATAAATTCTTTGAAAATTTGTAATTTTTCCCAGGTGGGTTTCAAGTACTATTATGTTTTTACAGAGAAATTATTCTATATCAATAACCAAACATTTTTATAATGTTTCGAAGTATTTCTTCCAACAGGTTCCTCATTTTAAATAGTGGAGAAAATAATTGATTCACAAAACCAAGAAAAATAATCACAATGTTATAAGAAAACATTTACTTTATTCGTGACAGAAATATTAACTTGTCTTTAGAAATATTTTCTGGCAAAACAAAGGCCTGAATATAGTCATTGTAGTTATTAGGAGCATATTAGAAACACATATCTTTTAAAACAAATTAAGCGAACACATTTTGAATTGAGCAGGATTATTTTTTTTAAAAATTTTAAGGAAAAATCCTTCAAGTTTTCTTTCTATTGCAATACAGTAAACCTGATTCTCTGACTGCAAGTCAAAAAGAGGTCTTATATACATTCATGAGGAAACTTCTCTCCAAGTAAAGGGAAGCATTTCAGCAAGAAGCGTATGACCACCCCCGCTTTCATATTTGGTAGAGCAGTCGATACATTTCCTAGTACCAGCCTCCAATCAATGCTCCATTTCTTTTTGACACAAAACTCTTGAATACAGAGGAGCAGGTTAAGACTAACCCGGTACATGTGGGAATTATGCTCTGCTAAGGGAATTTGAAAATTTGCAACTGACAAAACCGATATAAGCATGAATGTGGAAGTGGGCCCTGAGAAAGCTTTTCTTCACTTGCAAGCAGGGAACATGCACAACCTAGAGCACACGTGGGCTTGGGGAAGGAGATCAAGTTCACCAGAATAGGGGAAGGAAGACTGGTTTTGGAGATTCAAAATGGAAAAGGCCCTGCATAAGGATTGATCCCTCAACTGCCAGTACCTGGATAAAGTGTCTATTCTATGGATTTGACCTCGTGGAATTATTGTGAAACAAAACAAACTATTGAAATAGGTAATCCATAATCTTACACCAGTTCTATATTAATGACCATATTTCAGAAGAAGTGAATTTTCAAACATGACTGGTACATAACTCTGCTGAATGATAAAGTAATTGAATGGAATTTAGTATCCAGTAGTTTGACAGTTTGACTTCCCATCTTTCTTCGGTGTTTTGTCCCTGGCTTTTACACATCCTTCATTTGAAAATGTTTAGAAGAAGCAAAGCAATACTTACTTTTCTAGTGCTGGTATATTTAAAATTGTAGCAGGAAGTTAACCTTCATTATCTAATATATAACCGCTTTCTATGATAATTATACTTTCTTCCTCTATCTTATCAATTAAGTTATATACGCTATTATATCATTACACTTGTTATCAGTGTGAAAATATGTAGTTTTTTTTTTTGGTAAAAGTTCTCAACTTTTAGTAACTTGGGAAATTTTCTTTGAAATTTTATCCCATTACATAAATCTTATGTATTCAGGGAAATAAGTCATATTATGTGTAATCTATTTTTGGTAAATTTCAAAAGAAAGTGCAAATTGCCAATTATAAGTCTTATGTTACCTACTATTTAAAGATATTAAAAAGAAATCACTCATACTTGTTCATGAGGGATGGCATGACCTGTACCTCCAGCATGTGAGGGAAACACACAGATGAAGTGATAATTACTGCAATGCCACCTTTTGGATTAAAAAAATGTTCTATTCACACAGAAATAATAAACTTGATTCATCCCAGAGCTCTGAAGGAAGATTTGACTTCTTTGTCACTTACAGTATTGTTTTCCTAGATTTGAGCTTCAGTCCAACTCGGAGTAGAGGATTGTATGTGTATTTAGATGAACATACTCTGCTTCGGATTTGTTCCTTTGGGCTGATGCACTGTACCTCTTAACAGTTCTCCAATATGAATATATAAATTTCTGGGGTGGGTATAAGTAAATCAACTTAACAAATTATTTTCACTTTAGCAAGGCCTTTGATGAATAAATTACACTCAAATGTTGGTGAGAAGGGAAAGAGAAATAAGCAGAGAATGAGAGGGACTAGAACAGGCTTTGAATTGTCAACACAGCACAAGGGCCCTGAAGGATAAAGGGAAAGGAAGGAGAAAAGCGCTTTAGATAAACCTCAGTTGCTTGGCTTTGTTTGGGCCAGACTGCTCCGTAGTGCCCGTGAGCTCTGATGCGTCTTCATGTGCTTAACATGCCCAAAGGAGAAGTCATCCTGTCACCAGTAGACCCCTTCTCTTGAGTTTCTCATGTCAATTGAGGACGAGTTATCGGACTCATTCTTTTCATCTGCCTGCCTGCTTATTAACTTACTTGCTACCCTGTAGATTCTACCCCTATCCTATCTGTCATCTGTTTCTTCCTTGACATTCTCATTGCCAGAATCAAGTTGAAGACTTCATCGCCTCTTGCCTGGATTATTGATTGGCTTTCTAACAAGAAATCATTATCTCTAAGTACCCTATTTGCTTGAATCCATACAGATCAGATACACATATATATTTTAGAATTGCCCTAAACTTATAATATACCAGAATTGTCCTAAACTTATAATTTTTCTACTAAAAAGTGCCAGTGACCACTCATTGACAGACAGTAACAAAATTGACTATAAAATTCTTTTTCTGACATGCAGAGTCAGCCACAATAACGGCCAATTTCTCTTTTAATCTCTTCTTATCCTCTTATTTTAAATAGTTGCCAAACTCATTGATGTTTCATGAACATGCCCCACCAAATATTTGCAGGATGCAGACTGAACTCCTAATGTTTCCATCGCTTGGAGTATGTGCTTCTCTTTCTCTTACTCAGATGTTGTTTATTTAATAATATTTTGGAGATAGTCTTTATGAAATTTTCCTGATTTTTCTGAACCATAAGTGATATTTATTAAAATTTGAACCTTTATAATTACATAAACACCTTCCATGCCAGATCTTCATTTTTTTTCTTTTCTATTATAGGGTTCATTTTTTTGGGTTCTACCTTTTAGATTGTAAACATGTTAAGGGAATAAAATGCATTTTATTATTTCTTGTATCTTCTATATAGTACATCTCAATGCCTTATATAAAATAAGAACTTTGTAAATATTTGTTAGGTCGACAGTAATGTGTTGTAGAGACACAAAAAATGTAATGCACTTTAAGCACCCCACAAAGAAAGAATGTTTAGAATACACATAATGGTGCAGCTTAAAAAAAAAGTATTGTGTTTCAAATGATCTGATGGTAGGCCTTTCAAAAAGTGGTCTGTGATCTTCTCCATTGTTTTTAAATCCCTATATAAATATAGAAGAAAAAATTATGAAATTGCTTTGGTTCACTGAACTAGTAGAATGACTAATTGGGAGATATATACATATATATAATTATCATTTTTACAATATATATACATATATATTTATCATGATGAGTCTTTGTCTATTCATTTCTACTAATTGGAAACAAATTTCTTTTAAGTCAGTGAAAAGTTCTAAGAGTTTCTATCACATTCTCTCTGATAGAAAGGAAATAATGTTTAAATCAAAGGTATAGAGGGGCTGAAGTATAAAGTATCATGAACATTTTAGTTAGCAACTGAGCTTATTAACATGAACATAAATGAAATATATTTTACATTCTTAAAAAGACATTAGGAGAATACTAACTATGGTGAGTAACCTAGGGTACTTAGTGCCTTAAATTTGATTCCCAAATAATTATGTGTAAGTATAACACCTGCCCTGATCTCCCCCCTTTCCCCTTTGAGTTATTGCTACTTAGGGTAAGGCTTTGATTTCAAATGCTGATAATGGATGGTTATGACAGACAACAGTGTTGTGATTGGGGGGGGGGGATGGAGGTGGAAGAGGGTATGGGGGCACAAATGTTGATGAAAAAATTAAATTAAATTAAAAATATTCTTCTAGGAATTCATATTAAACAAAAATAAAATGTTAAATAAGCACAAGTTCAGTATCTAAAATTATTTTGTAGTGTCTAACTCACTTTATGATTGCTCTTTACTATCTAAATGCAAAGACATTATCAATTTCTGACTTTTACATTTCCTCTAGTCATACTAAGTAAGAGTCCTTGTTAGCTCTTCCCCCCTCCTCTATCGCCCTGGGTGTGACGGACAGGGAACAAGAGTGGCTAGGTGGGAGAAATGTGTGCTTTAGGGTGAATTATAATTTTTAATAAATAATAAAATTATATAATAAAACAGTAGGATTCTATAGAAATTATGGAAGGAGGCATGTTGTTAATTGAGCACTCTTCTATAATATTTGTAAGACATAAATCTAGAAAACTGCTGTTATTAATAATATATGTATATATATTTCCACTTAGCCTTTTATGAACATTGCATAGGCAAAATACTTACAATAAATTATTTTCTAATTTTGAGTACTCTAGAACAATGGTCAAAAGAAACATCTTTATATCAATAAATTTTATATTCATGTTGCTATTAAAATATAAACTATATTCTTATTATTTTAGCAGTTTTAATTTATTTCCTTCTAAAAGTTTAAGTGTTTCACCACTTAGCATTCATTTAGGTACTTCACCTCAAAAAAACCCCCAACCTTTTAATAATAAACCTTTTTTAAACTAACATCGGCATCTCACAAGTTTTTGGAATGCTTTCTTGAAATCTTCGTTAAAAATTGTATAAATCAGCGGATTTATAAGGGAATTGAGATAGCCAAGCCATGTCAAAAAATTTGACATTTCTTCAGAAATTTTACAGTTTTCACAGACATTAACCACCAATTCTTTTACAAAAAAGGGAAGCCAACATATTACAAATGCACCCAGAATGAGGCCCAGGGTGGTGGCTGCTTTGCGCTCCCTGGCGCCTGAGATCCTCTGCCTTCTCCAGGATTTCTCGTGCCTGAAGCCCGCCCCGGGCGTCTTCCCGGCGCTGTGAGTTTTATCCAAGTCTGTCGAGGGGTCGGACAGAGACTTCTCCGGCGCGCAGGCTGTGGAGGCCAGTCGGGAGCTCCTGTGCTCACTCTCCAGAAGCACCTGGCCGTTCAGGTCCTCCTTGGCGATCCTGCTCGCTTGTCTCTTGTGGTATAGGGTCTTCGCTGCTCTATATATTTTGTAATAGAGGATCAAAATCAGTGTCAGGGGGATGTAGAAAGCTCCAAACGTTGAGTAAATGGTGGAAACGATGTGGTCGTGCTTGATGACGCACTCGTCCTCTCGGCTGGTTGCCTGGTGCCTCCAGAAGAGAGGAGGCATGGAGATGAAGACAGATAGGGTCCACACCACCGCAATCATGATGCCCGCACGCCTGGGGGTCCTTTTCCTGGCATACTCCACAGCGTCCGTGATGGCCCGGTACCGGTCCAAGGCGATGGCCGAGAGATGCAGGATGGAGCAGGTACAGCAGGTGATGTCAACGCTCAGCCAGATGTCACAGACGGCCTGGCCCATGACCCAGCTCTCTCTCACGATGTACACAATGCTGAAAGGCATCACCAGGACGGCCACCAGGAAATCTGTAACTGCCAGGGAGCAGATTAAATAGTTGGCCGGGTGGTGCAGCTTCCTGGTCACAAGGATGGCAGTGATCACCAGAGAGTTGATGGTGGTTGTCATCAGCGCCAGCCCGGACAGGGTGAGGGACACCAGAATCTTGGATGGCGTTCTGTTGAATAGGTCTTCTGAGGTCAGGTTCTGATCAGACGTGTTTAAGAAATCCATTTTGGTGGTTGTCTTAAAACATCAATATAGTTGGAAATTGGCTACCTGTAACAAAGGAGGGGGAAACAGTTCAAAGAAGGCTTTAAAGATCTTTTCTCTTCCTTTCAGAACTATTTTTAAAAAGCATATGTGTATTTTCCCCCAGAATATTCTATGGATTAAAAAAATGAGTTGACATTGCGCATTTTCTTTTTTGTTTTTAATTTAAGAAACCCATGAGAACAGCAACAAATAACTTTCAAAACATTTCTTAAAATATAGCTCAAATAAAACAATTTTTATGAGTAAGCTAAACTATTATGCAGTAAAATCTCTACCATTATAGAATTGCATTAAAAAGACTGTATTAATCCTAGCTATGATTTTCTCTTGTCTGCGCCAGAAAAAGTTTAAAAGCACATGTCATTAATATTTATTTGTGCATTATATAAGAAAATATTATTTTAAAGGCAGTATTTTAAACCATAAACAATTTTGTACTTAATTCAAAGTTACATTGAGAACATTATTATTGAGTTTATGGAGACTAAAGGAACTTTTAATGTATTTTATGTCATGATATAAAGGAAAATAAACAAAAATAAAATATTTTTAGTATCTCGCTAGCATTCCATGATTATTTTATGAAATTAGGAAAATGTCAGAGTGTTTAGTAGCCTTTGTGGTTAGAAGTAGTTAATTTAGTTTAAAATAAAATTAGTTACAGTCAAATAACTGGACAACACTGCCCATTATTACAGTAAAATATATGACCAAACAGCCCACTCAACAAGGTGAACGTCACTCTAAGGACAACTCAGAATGGCACACACCCTAAAATGCAAAGTATTCTTTTTACAACTCACCATTATGACAATCATGCAACCTTACTTCTGAAAGAAGACCCTCCAAACATGGTTTATGATTTTTAAATCAGTCCATGCTATTGTTTAATTATAAGTCAAATAAAAGCAATTGGAATGTAACCAAATAAGAATAATCATTTTTATAAGATAATTTTTTTTGCATCTACACTTCTCTCTTTTTAAAATTTAATTTATTTTTTAAATTTATCTTTATTGCTAAAAGTATGACAGATGTCCTCCTTGCTCCCCATTGACCTCTCTCTTGCTTTAATAATTCTTTAGTAGCTACCTATATCTTAGGAAGAGACAGAGGAGATGGAACCTGAAACTTTATTCTTACTAATAACTAATAATAATTTTACCTCCATAGTCCTTAAATAGTTTTTTACTTTAAATGGTTATGTTTCATTTGTTGGAACAAATAGAACAATAATTAAAAATATGTGGTATTTCTATATCAAGTGCTTCTTATGAAATGTGTGTATTAGAAAACATTGGAGTGCACGGTATTTAATATTCTACTTGTTTTTGGTTCACCAGCACTAAATTTAATTTTTATTTTCTCATATTCATTGAAGGCAGGTTCTGATGGCTTGCTCCTAAGTAAATTGAGAGGCAGAAGAAATTTGAATACCTGCTACCTGGAAAGTGAGTATTTCTTCAGTGTGTAATTGAAAAGGAGTTGTATATCTATAATTTATATCAACAGTTACCCACTTTTTAAAAAAAATATTTTTATTGATTTTGTTTTTGAGAGTGAGAAAGGGAGAGGGAGAGAGATAGAAACATTGATGCATCAACATTGGTCGGCTGGCTCCTGAACACCCCCTGCTGGGGATCGAACCTGGAAACCCAGGCATGTGCCCTGACCTGGAATGGAGCCAGCGACTTCTTGGTGCATGGGCCAGTGCTCAACCACTGAGCTACACCAGCCGGGCAACATTTACCTATTTTCAAAGGTCAAGGAAGACAACTCCAGATAAAGGATAGAGGCTAAAGTCTCCTTTGGAATTCTAAACCAGTTGTTCTGGAATTTAGTTGCTTCAGAATTACCAGGAGGAGTTGTTAAAACACAGATTGCTAGGTCCCACTCTCTGGGGTTTGAGAGATGGTCAATCTGAGGCGGGAGCTTTAAATCTGCATTTCTAGCAGGAGCCCAGGTGATGCTGCTGCTGCTGGTCCAGGAAGTCAGGTTTGTGGAGGGTAATCAGTATGATTGTTAGCTGTTTGCTTAATCCTTTCACTGCTGTAGCATCTCTGAGCGCCTGTCACTGAGAGCAGCTCTGACATTTCTGCTGTACGACTTTCTCAGCATCTCTCTTTCCCACATTCCTCACTTTCTTCTTGGAGTGCCTCAAATAAATGATCTTACTCCAGTTTTTCTCCTGTTGTTTCCCTATTTTATTGAGGTCTTAGGGCAGCTCTTGGACCTCCTGCTCTAGGCCTTTTAACTCCCTCGTCCCCACATCATTTCCACTCTTTCCAACCCATTATGAGAGTTATGCCATATGACAATATTTCCTAAATCAATATTGGATCATAGGTCCTGGGGCATAATGATGCGCTCATTGGTACCATGAGAACTGTCATGAAAATCTTTGATATGTGTTTTCAATATCAGTGAACCTCATAGTATTTAGCTAGCTTCCCTGGAAACATCTCTGGGGTGTGTGTGGGGGGGTCCGTGGTCAACGGTGAAACGCCTACTCCAAAGCCACTTAGACATTTTAGAAACATGGTAGATTAATTAATTTCTACATTCCTTCCGATTTTACCCCCATCATAAAAATTGCACTACAAATTAGACTATTCAATAAAAAGGCTAAATGTTTTCTTAATTGGTTAATTCTTTTGAAAAAGTATTTAGTATTATGAGAATTCATTTAAAAGTGCTGACACTTTCCATGTATAAGCAAAAGTAACTTTCCATTTTAATTTGCCTGATAAACAATGTTGGAACACGAGCCTCTTCAAGAGATAACTTCAAATTACATTTTGAGTAGAATATTAAAAAAGATAAACTGAAAATAGTAATGTGTGTTTCCATAATAAAAATAATTCTGTAAAAAAATGGACCAGTTTATAAAAAGGTGAATTATTTGATAATTCAATTGATTTCTCTAACCATCACACTGTAGCATTTAAATTAAGCCCAATAAAATGGTATTTACTAAGGAAAAAAATCAAAGTGTGTCATAAATTCAACTGCAGTTTATCAGAAATCTCATTATTAAATTTAGAAAAATTAATCTTCTAATAGTATATTTATAGAAAGCAAAGAAAATAGGAAAACAAGTGTAGCCAATCACAAATGGGTTTCTTTATCTTTTTGTCTTATTTCCTTGCCACTTACAATTAAAATTTCAATGAATCATGTACCATTATTAAATCAAACACAGCCTTTAATCAGATTTGTTCGTATTCCTTTCATTTAAAGTTCCCACTGTGAGTCCTCATGATGGTAGGTACTACCTCTGGGTTACTGAACATAGGCTATGTCACACAAGTTTCTCTTATTCTTAGAACATAGATTGTATTCTGTATTTTGAATGTCTTCACTGGGTAATAGTCAGGATTACTCTTTAAGTGGAGCCTGTAGTCCCATCAATTATATGTAGTCTTTAAAAATTTTATTTAATATGTCTTTATTGATTTCAGGGGACAGGGTGAGAGAAATAGAAACATCAATGATGAGAGAGCCACTGGTGGCCTGCCTCCTGCAGGCCCCCTGCTGGGGATCCAGCCCGAAGCCTGGGCTTGTGCCCTGACCAGGAAGAGAACAAGCGACCTCTTGGTGCAGGGGATGGCACTCAACCACTGAGCCACACTGGCTGAGCATATTTTATTTTTTAAGGTACAGGAGACAACACTCATAAATTGCTTTGCTACCACAAAACATAGGTTGCCCTCTTTCTAGTCTCCTGGGTATTGTTTCATCACTTCCTTTTCAGACACCACTAAAAGTTTGTTCACTGAGTCTCCTCACNCACCACGAAAAGTTTGTTCACTAAGAGTCTCCTCACTTTTTTTTTCAGTTTCTCCAGGCCACCTAGTCTTAAAGCCAATGCCATGTGTATTGACTCTAAGTTGACAAGGATGGACTGTGCTGGATTATTTGTTGTCAACTCGGCATCCCTATGAGCTCCAACCCCTGCAATGTAAAGTGGATGCAGGGAACTATATTTCCCAGAATCTACTTTACAGAGTCTGGATTTAGTTTGCTAATGAGAGGAATTCCCACAAGGTTTGGGAGGCAGAAGAGGAGGAGAGCTGATGAGCCTCTGAATGTGGTTGCAGCTAAATGCATGGGCAGACATTGACNGTCTTTAAAAATTTTATTTAATATGTCTTTATTGATTTCAGGGGACAGGGCGAGAGAAATAGAAACATCAATGATGAGAGAGCCACTGGCGAGAGAAATAGCAACATCAATGATGAGAGAGCCACTGGTGGCCTGCCTCCTGCAGGCCCCCTGCTGGGGATCCAGCCCGAAGCCTGGGCTTGTGCCCTGACCAGGAAGAGAACCAGCGACCTCTTGGTGCAGGGGATGGCACTCAACCACTGAGCCACACTGGCTGAGCATATTTTATTTTTTAAGGTACAGGAGACAACACTCATAAATTGCTTTGCTACCACAAAACATAGGTTGCCCTCTTTCTAGTCTCCTGGGTATTGTTTCATCACTTCCTTTTCAGACACCACTAAAAGTTTGTTCACTGAGTCTCCTCACTTTTTTTCAGTTTCTCCAGGCCACCTAGTCTTAAAGCCAATGCCATGTGTATTGACTCTAAGTTGACAAGGATGGACTGTGCTGGATTATTTGTTGTCAACTCGGCATCCCTATGAGCTCCAACCCCTGCAATGTAAAGTGGATGCAGGGAACTATATTTCCCAGAATCTACTTTACAGAGTCTGGATTTAGTTTGCTAATGAGAGGAATTCCCACAAGGTTTGGGAGGCAGAAGAGGAGGAGAGCTGATGAGCCTCTGAATGTGGTTGCAGCTAAATGCATGGGCAGACATTGACAGGAGCTTCTGTGAGCTCTTGGAAAATTTCTCAGATATTTTTGAGAACTACAACGGTTTCTAAGGAAGCCTTTGAGAACTATCCACTTTGGGGCCTTAGGCTTACATGTTCAGTGTCTGTTCCTTTAACTTTAGGCAGCAACTGGATTTTGACTTTAAATTTGACTTTAAATTAAATGTTTACTTTCCTGATCTTCTTTNTTTAAGGTACAGGAGACAACACTCATAAATTGCTTTGCTACCACAAAACATAGGTTTCCCTCTTTCTAGTCTCCTAGGTATTGTTTCATCACTTCCTTTTCAGACACCACGAAAAGTTTGTTCACTAAGAGTCTCCTCACTTTTTTTTTCAGTTTCTCCAGGCCACCTAGTCTTAAAGCCAATGCCATGTGTATTGACTCTAAGTTGACAAGGATGGACTGTGCTGGATTATTTGTTGTCAACTCGGCATCCCTATGAGCTCCAACCCCTGCAATGTAAAGTGGATGCAGGGAACTATATTTCCCAGAATCTACAGAGTTTGGATTTAATTTGCTAATGAGAGGAATTCCCACAAGGTTTGGGAGGCAGAAGGGGAGGAGAGCTGATGGGCCTCTGAATGTGGTTGCAGCTAAATGCATGGGCAGACATTGATAGGAGCTTCTGTGAGCTCTTGGAAAATTTCTCAGATATTTTTGAGAACTACAACGGTTTCTAAGGAAGCCTTTGAGAACCATCCACTTTGGGGCCTTAGGCTGACATGTTCAGTGTCTGTTTCTTTAACTTTAGGCAGCAACTGGATTTTGACTTTAAATTTGACTTTAAATTCAATGTTTACTTTCCTGATCTTCNGGCCTGCCTCCTGCAGGCCCCCTGCTGGGGATCCAGCCCGAAGCCTGGGCTTGTGCCCTGACCAGGAAGAGAACCAGCGACCTCTTGGTGCAGGGGATGGCACTCAACCACTGAGCCACACTGGCTGAGCATATTTTATTTTTTAAGGTACAGGAGACAACACTCATAAATTGCTTTGCTACCACAAAACATAGGTTGCCCTCTTTCTAGTCTCCTGGGTATTGTTTCATCACTTCCTTTTCAGACACCACTAAAAGTTTGTTCACTGAGTCTCCTCACTTTTTTTCAGTTTCTCCAGGCCACCTAGTCTTAAAGCCAATGCCATGTGTATTGACTCTAAGTTGACAAGGATGGACTGTGCTGGATTATTTGTTGTCAACTCGGCATCCCTATGAGCTCCAACCCCTGCAATGTAAAGTGGATGCAGGGAACTATATTTCCCAGAATCTACTTTACAGAGTCTGGATTTAGTTTGCTAATGAGAGGAATTCCCACAAGGTTTGGGAGGCAGAAGAGGAGGAGAGCTGATGGGCCTCTGAATGTGGTTGCAGCTAAATGCATGGGCAGACATTGACAGGAGCTTCTGTGAGCTCTTGGAAAATTTCTCAGATATTTTTGAGAACTACAACGGTTTCTAAGGAAGCCTTTGAGAACTATCCACTTTGGGGCCTTAGGCTTACATGTTCAGTGTCTGTTCCTTTAACTTTAGGCAGCAACTGGATTTTGACTTTAAATTTGACTTTAAATTAAATGTTTACTTTCCTGATCTTCTTTTCCTAGCTTTTCCAACATTAATGTAAACTCCAATATCTTCATTAAATCCCTTTATTCCAGGAATGTGTTGGGTGACTCTGTTACCCTGACCAGTCTTAGACAGATAGATACAAGGAGACATATTGCTAAGTGGTAATCAGAAATTAACAACCAAAGTAGCTTTAACCAATCTTAAAAATACTAAGCACAATGTTCATTAAAACCATTAATGAAAGCAGCTTTAACCATTAAAGCATCTTTTAACTAGCTTTAACCAAACAAATCTTAAAAATATTTAGGAAGAAGAGAGCATGTTCAATGAAATTTTGCATATTCACACATTTCTTTGTTTGAATGATTCTGGTTATTGTTTTCAAGTATTGCTTGCAGAATAGTCTGCTACAGTTGGGAAAATAATTGCAACAATGAAAATCTTAGGGAAAACTGCAGTGTGTTCAATGAGCACTGTGAAACTAGCCAGCAAACACACACACAACAGACTCGTATGCTGCACTATTTCCTTTGGCTGTAACTGACCCTTGAAGAGGGAGGAAGCTGAGCGTTTGTGTGGGTGGAGGAGGGATGGGGGGACATGGAGGAATGGGGTTGTGGAGGCAGTAGAACTGATGTTTATTCCTGAGATGGACACTTCAGTTTATTAAGAGAATATCAAGCATTGTGAATGAAACCTAAGAGTGTTAGAGCTGAACAGAATTTCGGTTGACGTCGGTCTTCTCCATTTACGAGTGTGGGCCAGGAAAGTCATTTCAATTTTCAAAGACTCAGCTTCATTACCTGTAGAGTGAGAATAATAAGTTTCAAACCTTATAAAGTGTTATTGAAGATGAAATACAAATCCCTTAGGTGCCCGGCACCTCATAAACTTGATATTTAGACTTGTCATCCGTAGTGTGGAGCTAGCAACCTTTGCCTTTAGGAATATCAAAAGCATTAATCATGAAATGGGTCTAACAAGATAAAAAATATTACTTTAATTTTTACCTCAGTCAACATTTTATAATACCATCATTGTCTAATACCACATTTTCTAATTCCTCTATAAGAAGGTGCCTTCTCTTTGAGTAAGACAAATAGTTCCCTCCATAGTGACATTAGATATAATAATGTAATAATGTCTTGTGTGAGTAATTGTCACCAGGAACTAGATAAGGAATTTGGAAATTCTGTACCCTTACTGGAAAATTACTGAAAAAGTTAGATTTAGCTATATGCTAGAAGTGAAAAATATTTTTCAAAATTTCTTTCTAAGGAATGGAAAAAGATATTTCATGAAAATGGAAACAAACAAATAAAGCTGGAGTAGCAATATTTATAAAAGACAAAGTACAATTTAAAGCAAAGGTTATAAAAGAGACAAAGAAAGACCCAGAAATTCCACTTCTGGGTATTTATCCAAAAAACCCAAAACCCTAATTCGAAAAGATATATGCACCCATATGTTCATTGCAACATGGTTTACAATAGCCAAGATACAGAAGTAACCTAAGTGTCCATCAGTAGATGAATGAATATATACATTCCTTATGTAAAATGGAATATTACTCATCCATAAAAATGAATGAAATTTTGCCATCTGCAACATGGAGGGGCCTAGAAGGTATTATACTAAGTGAAATAAGACAGATGAGAAAGATAATACCATATGATTTCACTTATTTGTGGAATTTAACCAATGAAATAAATCAACAAGCAAAACAGAAACCCACTCATAGATACAGAGAACATTTTTATGATTGCCAGATGGGAGAGAGGTTAGGGGTATGGATGAAAAGAGGGAAGAGATTAAGAAGTACAAAGTGGTAGTTACAAAACAGTCATGGGGATGTAAATACAGCATAGGGAATATAGTCAATAATATTATAATAACTATGTATGGTGTCAGATGGATATAAGAATTATTGGGGCGATCACTTTGTAAGTTATATAAATGTATAATCACTATGTTATACACTGGAAGCTAATATTGTATGCCAGCCATAATTGAAAAATAAATTATTAAAAAATTCTTTCTAAAGTTAGTATTAATAATCTGATAAATATCTTAATCCAGGCATTTCATGTTTTATTCTTAATCTAGAATAAAACAGTACATTAGACAAAATCTAATCTCAAAATTTGGGTAGACAATAGTCCAGTTTACCTAAACATGAATAAAAACATCATGGTGAATTATTTGGAAAAAAAATATCACATGCTTAGGATGTATTAAAATTCAATGAAAGCTGTTGTTGTGAGGTTAAAAAAGATCTAATTTTAGTGATGATGTTTAATTTAACAGCTTCAAATTTTTTATGCACAATAACTAGTAAACCAAGCTAGGCTGGCAAGGTTTAAGCAATTTCAAGCACAATATCCTCTCTCTCTCTCTCTAACCAGAACTTGAAAGGCATTACACTGTTACTTATATTTTATGCAAATGTTGCTAATGGAATGAAAGGTATTTCACTTGAACGTGATGTATACTCTTCTATTTTATTCTACTTTCTTTTGTAAATGTGCTAAATTGGAAGCATTTCTTTTCCTCTTCTTTAATTTTTAATCCACTTTCTCCTTTCGATCCCTTATATGTGGAAGCCTTATAAAGTATATATTTGCATTTGGGAGGTTTAGTAAGCACCAACTGATTGACTATCATAAATAAAATTAATATTGACATTTATTTAGCACCCTTGGGTTGGTAGAGCTGGTATACAAGGCAGAAATCTAGCAACATAGTGCGAGTGCTTAATAGCTGTCAGATCAAATTGGGTAGCTGATCTGTCATCTTCACCTAATGATATTATAGAATATTCAGCACTGAGCAGACGGCAGATGTTATATAGCCGTGATTTGGACCTCAGTTTAAGTGCAATCTGGTCTTCCAGTCAGCTGGCTAATCACGGCTCTTAACTAAAATATGAAGAAAAATTCAACTTTTAAACTTGGATAAAACAAGCAGTGCTTGACTGAGACATATTTAGCCTAAATATATACTGATTTTATATAAATATAAGGTATTAAATAGTCACGATTTTAAATAAGATGGGTATTTTCTATTTTAATTTTATTTGGTTAACTTTACTTAATGCTGTAGAATGTACATCTCTGTTTTATGCAGTAAATTACCCTAGAATCCCAAGATATAAATTAAAGTGCAGGGGGTGATTAAGATAGCAATATCTTGAGATTCAACCCCAAAATAATTATGAAAATATTTTCAAAACATATTTTATAGTAAAAAAAATCATAGTGCAGAAAGAATGTATAGTATGTCCTATTCATGTAACATAAAGACTATTTATGAATATATTTATTTGTACATTGAATATCTCTGTAAGGATACACAAGAATCTGTTAACTTGGTTCTCTCCAGAGGATACAAATGCATGGCTAGGGAGATAAGGTTTGGAAAGAGACTCTAAAATTTTACACACATTATGCATGTTATCTATTTTTAAAAAAGAATAAAGTAAAAACTAACTAACCAATCAAACTTATTGAGTATATTAGTTTTTGTCAAACACTTTGTATAGTCTTATTTGAAACTAGAAGAAAAGAGCTAAGTGAAGGATTTAAGTTTGTAGCTAGTGAATATGTGAGCACGTATGTATCGGGGGTGTGGAAAACAGCAGGAACTTGGAGTTTCCATGTGTCATAGGCTCTTGTTTTCTCTCTGAATAGGAGACTGTGTCATCTGTTGAGGGGGAGGAGGCAGGGATCATGAGGGGTATGATGAACATTTGGCACAGCTGCTATAGAGGGTAGGAAGGGAAGTGATCAAAGGCAGCCAAAGAATTCTGCGTATTGTTTAGGGCTGTATGCGCCTCAGTCTCTACTAGGGTGCGGTTGTTCTTTGGAAATGCTCAGGAGCTTTGGTATGAGAGCAGAAAATGAACATTGCTGGATTATCTATCTTGTGGGAGAAGCACAAGGTAGCAAGGGAGTTGAGGATATTAGTGGAAAAGTCGTTAAAGTCAACTGATAAAGATACCAATTGGGAAATAAGTTTAGATTACAAGTGGAGGAGGCAGTGTCTTGGAAGAAGAAGCGGATTTAATTAGTTAAGAGAGGATTTCAAGGCAGAGCTCTTATCTTCTCTGGTTAGTGAGGACAACTCTTCCTTAGTCCCTGGTTTTCTTTTTCTTTTTTTAAAAATTGAATTTATTGGGGTGACATTGGTTCACAAAACCATACAGGTTTCAAGTGTACAGCTCAATAAAATATAATCTGCACACTGCATCATGCATCCATTGCCCCAAGCAAAGTCTCTTTCTGTCCCCATTTCCCCCTCTTTGCTCACTTCCACCTACCACTCATTCCCCTTTCCCTCTGGCTCTCATGGCTTTCTGTTACTCAGCCCAGTCTCTGAAGGTAGCCCTTTAGAGTCTTTCAGAATGGCTCCAGCTAGCTCTTCCCAAAGTGGCCTCACTCAGGGAAACATTGGAATACATCTGGCACATTCCTACCTTGAAGCTTTTCCTATAGCTCATTGATTCTCAGAGTGCAGTTCCTGGACCAGCAGCATCTGCAGCAGCTGGCAACTTTTAGAAATGCAAAATCTTGCTTCCTCCCCTGACACCGAATCAGAAACTTTGGAAGTGGAACCCAGCAATCCCTATGTTTACAAACCCTCTAGGGAATTCCGATGCCTGCTCAAGTTAGAACCAGCTGCTCTAGCTGTTTCTCTGCCTGACATAGTCTTTAAAAAAAAAGTGTATATATACACATATAGATGTATGTATATATACATCTATATGTATATAGATGTATACAGTCAAGAATTTCATACATCTATATGTGTGTGTGTGTGTGTGTATGTGTATATATATATATATATATAAAATTCTTGACTGTATTACACATGTTCCCCATTTTCCCCCTTGACCCTCCACCCAGCCCCTGCTCCACCCCAGGCCTTCACCACACTATTGTCTGTGTCCTTGGGCTATGCCTATATGAATATAAGTTCTTTGGTTAATCTCTTCTTATCTCCCCCACCCCACTCCCCTCTGAAATTTGTCAGTCTGGGCACAGATGGAAGGTCGGAGCTGGGTAACGCAGAAGGATGACCTTTTCTCTCTTTTCTAGTGCCTCTACGTTGTCCGAAGGGCGTGTTATTGATATGGGAGCCCATTCAGACTTGTTTTCCAGACTCTGCATACTCCTGTGGCTGCTTACTTTGTATATATTCATATTTATGCACATCAAAAGTATAATAGTCTTTAAAAACAAAATTTACTTTTATCATATTGTTACCGGAGAATTAAACTCCCTGTTGGAGGTTCTTGGGGTGCCACTGAAAGAAGCATTTTTAGAAGCCCCCATGGGAGGATGGTCTGTGGAAGATTTTATCGGTGTGGAGTTACATTTCTCTGGCTCCAATGTCCCATTTCCCCCAAGCCAGTCCTGAAAGAGGGGCAGCTGGGAGTTTAATAGAGCCAGAAACAGGGCCAGTGTCCAGAGCTTCCCTTCCCTGTTGCAGCCGGGTGTGGTTCAGCATTCAGGCCAGTTTAAAGCCCATTAGTCCATGTGTGGAGTCCAGCATGGCTGTGAGCCATGTGGGCAGAGGGGAGCGTGTCCCTGCAACAGGAATCATAGGAGCCAAGAGAGAGTGGCTCCTTTGTCTAGAAGTTTATATATTCAGGTTTCACTTGCTTGCAGTGACCATGCCCATCCTGGATAATTACCTGTTTCCAGGTGTGATTGATGGGAAACTACCCTTCCAAGTCACTCAGACCTCACTGGGCATGCATCCAAACTGCCTTTGTCTAGTCCCTTCCCTCATCAAACAGTGGGGAGCAGACTTGGAGAGTGTTAAATGCAGCTTTTTCACAAAGCTGTGTCAATGGCATGCCTATGTAATTTGGTCTCTCCTTTCACTCCTCTCTTGTAAAATAATAGCCAGGTTATTAAAACAGTATCGGTATGATGATCGTATTCTATTATGGTAGATGTCTATAATAATACTAAATGTATCTGAAATTTCTATTTATTTCTTAGACACTTTTTTCCAGAACATCTGATTATTGAAGTATCGATCTTTTTGCTTAAAAAAGTAAAAAAGAACCCATAAATATGAGTATTATAAATAAGAGTTAAATAAATGCTATTTAACTCATTTCTATTTATGTTTTATTAAAACTCAGATATATTTAGGTTAATGTTTTAGTGATTTGTACTATACTAGAAGTTTTCAATGTTAATGAATCATTGTAAATAATTATCATAAATAATTATCATAAATAATTCCAGAAGCAATCCCCTTTTGTAGGTTCAGCAAGCAGAGTAATTAAGAGTTCACAAGTTAATATATTTGAAAGATTTTCTGAGCCCTGTCAAAGTGGAGTTGTCTTTTATTTTATGAGTTTTAAAAAACACGTAAAAAATCCAATTAATCAGCAAATATATATTTTAGTTCTTAAATCACTAATGAAGTTTTTTGTCATTTGGGTTGAGTCATAAATTTAAAATTTAACTTATTTACGATTTTCTGTCAGATGTCAATTGTCATAAAATGATGAATAGAAATTACAATGCCAAAGATGTTCTTGTGACAGACCATTATTTTTCTATCAAAGCTTAAGTTTAACATGCAATAGAAATAAAATACCATATTTAGCAATCAATTTTCTCCTTTGGATAGAAAAAGCTCACAAAAGTGGGAGAGAAAAAAATGATTCAAAAGTTAAATACGCAACAGTTCTGATACCTTTCTTGGTGTCCTAGACTGTCTAAGAAGGGGAGGGCATAATATGAAGTCCAAAAAGGACATTTTAGTAGAGTATTCAAAGGCCATCTGAGATACAGGGCTACTAAGGGAAAGGGTAGAATGTTAGCAGTTTCATCTGATGTGGCTCTAACCTGGGTAGGGAAAGCCTTAGTCAGTCACCTTTTGTCTGACTTGCAGAACAATTCATGGGCACATGGATATTCCTTGCCTTTATCTCTCATGGCTAAATTCTGAACTGCACAAGCCATCTAAAATGAATGTTTTATGGGCATAATACTTGGTGTTTGTGTTAATTCTGTGTTTGTTTAGTATCCTCAAAATGGCCTTGCAAAACTTATTAATCATAGGAT